AATTAATTAACATAGGATTAATATCATTGATATTGACTGATGAACATTTGAAAAGCTACTGTCTTGATTGGTGGCAGCAATTCCAAACCAAACATTGGGGATAAAATCTTGAAAGCCAAACGTCAGTTTCACAAAGCGCACTAATCTTTTTTGCTGCATAGTTTATGAGATTCTGATTTGTGCGCAGCAGGTCTGATGTAACTATAATATCTTTTTGCTAACATCGCCTTGTTTGATAACTTTTTAAGTCAATAAATATGTTGTTTGTACATTGCACGTCACTCACCCATGATTAACATGGAATTACTAAACTTAGTTTGTCGTCTTTTTTCCCCCAGAGCTTTCGTTCTGGCTTGAAATTATTGTACAGAATGATTATCCGGCCGGCGCTCGTCAGTTTGTCCGTTATCCGGCCCGCCGTGAACAAAGTTTGGTGACCCCCGTGTTAGAGCAACATTGACTAGTTGAAAAGTGTTTACACTATATAGAAGTTTATCTGATTCTTTGCATATGTTTTGGAAGCTGCATTTAAATTTTCAAAAGTACATAACTAAAATTGGAATTAATTATGAATGCCTGAATAATATTTTTTTGTTTAAATGGCATTGATTTAAATACGTATGGGGCTCAAATGAACATTTATGAGCTACGAAGAAATAGTCGGAAGTGTTCTATTTCAAAATGATGATATTTCATGAGTATTCTTTTTTCAGGATTTGGTGAGAGTAATAGAACACACAACATACACATGATATGTTTGTTGGTTGTTGATCGTCCTTGGCATGCGAAGATGACCAAGGCTATATTCAACAGTGAGTTAGCAGATGGCCTGCCAGTCCCATTGTGCCTGGAAAGCTTTCCGGCACGTTGGACACACATTGTTTTGGGTCCTGTTTTGGTTTGAATAGTTTCTTCTTTTCATTGCCGTGCTGTTTCTTTGGGCAATAGCTGTGGGCTTATTCTCTGAGGATTGTTCTCCAACAGTGAGTCTGCCACGTCATCTTGTACGATCCATAACAAGTGTTTCCCATAAATGAAGGTCAATATCAATGGATTTGAGTAAAACTTTTAGACTGAAGTGTTTTGCTGCCCACCGGCTGAGCGTTTCCTCTGGACTGAAGCGTTCACCGAACATTAGTTGTGTTGGTATTCTGCTGCCTGGCATTCTTGAAACATGCCCTGCACATCTCGCTTGTCCATTTTGTAGGAATGTGTGGATGCTAATAAAGTTATCCCGTCTTAGGACCTCTGCATCAGGGACTTTGTCTTGTCACCTCATGTCAAAAGGTTTACGTAGACAGCGTAGGTGGAGATGGTTTAGTTATCTAGCTTGTCTTTGTATCGTGTCCACGTCACGCTAGCATATAGATATATGTTAAGACCTTTGCCCTATATACTTTCAGCTTAGTGACAAGTCTGTGACCCCCTTCGCTCCCAAACACTTTTACGCAGCCTCCAAATGCATTTGCTTTTGAAACTCGCTTGTTAATCTCATCATCTATTGTTACTGGCCTAGAGTAAGGTGCTGCTCAAATATGAGAATTTTTTCACTACTTAGAGGTTCTTTCCCTTCACTGAGATTAAGTTCTGTTAACGCTTTTCCTGAAACTGGGCGGCCTTGGCACTGCGATCAAGTATTTGCGACTATTATTATTCATCGAGGAAACGCTATGGTTTTAAAGTTAAACAACGAAACCTGAGTGGAAAATCCGTCATGCCAGTGGCGTAGCTAGGAGGTTGCGGAGGGAAGCTTACCGAACCGGGTGAAACCATCTCAGGGGGGTGACATCAATTTGAACAATTGCATACTTACAGAGCACGTGCTGTGGGTCTGACTGAATGATTGCATACTTACAGAGCACATGCTGTGGGTCTGACTGAATGATTGCATACTTACAGAGCACGTGCTGTGGGTCTGACTGAATGATTGCATACTTACAGAGCACGTGCTGTGGGTCTGACTGAATGATTGCATACTTACAGAGCACGTGCTGTGGGTCTGACTGAATGATTGCATACTTACAGAGCACGTGCTGTGGGTCTGACTGAATTTCATACAAATGATAACAAATCACACGTACATTTCCACACATGCAACCAATCAAAATTCGTGCTTTATTAACAGTTCAATGTTGATGCGTCAGCAATGAATTGATTCTATAATTAGGTCTGTTATTGTTTTTTTTAGGGGGGGGGGTTGTGCCATTTTGGTCAACTGTATAAACTTTTTTTTTTTTGGGGGGGGGGGGTGGTGACATTTTGGTTAACTGTATCAACTTTTTTTGCATGTTTGTTGTTGTTCGTGAAGAATGACGGGCAAACTCAAAGTCCAGCCGAGTGTCACAAGCTCTACATCTACGACACTGGCAAAATGTCACAAACTCTACATCTACGCCCCTGGAAACATGTTACTATGGGTTTGTTTAGCCTCGTGGTAACTAAGTTGATGTTTCAGGTAGACCTGCACTATTCAAAAATCAATACGCGCAATGTGCATTGCTTTCGTCAGCATTATCTCTTTAATTTATTGACCAGGCTTAATGAATGCTCGACAGAATCGTTGCACGCGCTCGCATAATGGAGACAGAAATTCAATTAGAGGTCCTCAAAGAATGGTGACAGCAGTTAAATTAGAGGTTCTCAAAGAGTTTTCTTAAAAGGTTTCTATTTTACAAAATATTTTTTTTTAATGATCATATTTTAAAATTATCAATATAATGATTGAAATGACCATATGGGGTGGCGGATATAATACTCATGAGAGGCCGCGGAGACCTAGCGAGGATTAGTGCTGCGGAGACCTAGAGAGGATTAGTGCCACGGAGACCTAGCGAGGATTAGTGTCACGGAGACCTAGCGAGGATTAGTGCCGCGGAGACCTAGCGAGGATTAGTGCCGCGGAGACCTAGCGAGGATTAGTGCCACGGAGACCTAGCGAGGATTAGTGCCGCGGAGACCTAGCGAGGATTAGTGCCGCGGAAACCTAGCGAGGATTAGTGCCACGGAGACCTAGCGAGGATTAGTGCCGCGGAGACCTAGCGAGGATTAGTTCCGCGGAGACCTAGCGAGGATTAGTGCCGCTCGGGGCTGGAAACAATTTTGCTGTCCACGTCCACGAAAAAAACTTAAAAATTTGGCCGAAATTGTCCCCCTTCCTTCCCCACTTCCTACGCCAGTGAGTAACCGTATGCTGACTACTAGTGAGTTGCCGTATGCTGGCTACCAGTGAGTGTCCGTATGTGGCTACCAGTGAGTGGCCGTATGCTGGCTGCTAGTGAGTGGCCGTATGTTGGCTATCAGTGAGTGGCCGTATGCTGGCTGCTAGTGAGTGGCCGTATGCTGGCTGCCAGTGAGTGGCCGTATGCTGGCTGCCAGTGAGTGGCCGTATGCTGGCTACCAGTGAGTGGCCGTATGCTGGCTACCAGTGAGTGACCGTATGCTGGCTACCAGTGAGTGGCCGTATGCTGGCTACCAGTGAGTAACCGTATGCTGGCTACCAGTGAGGGGCCGTATGCTGGCTACCAGTGAGTAACCGTATGCTGGCTACCAGTGAGTAACCGTATGCTGGCTACCAGTGAGTGGCCGTATGCTGGCTACCAGTGAGTAACCGTATGCTGGCTANGCTGGCGACCAGTGAGTAAGCGGATGCTGGCTACCAGTGAGTGGCCGTATCCTGGCTACCAGTGAGTAACCGTATGCTGGCTACCAGTGAGTAGCCGTATGCTGGCTACCAGTGAGTGGCCGTATGCTGGCTACCAGTGAGTGGCCGTATGCTGGCTACCAGTGAGTGGCCGTATGCTGGCTGCCAGTGAGTGGCCGTATGCTGGCTGCCAGTGAGTGGCCGTATGCTGGCGAACAGTTGGTAACCACATTAAGAGACGCACAAGGTCATTAGTTAGAAACTTTGGAACAAGGTCATAGGGAATCTGTCCCACAATTGGGAAAAAGGGGGGGGGGGAGCATGACCTCAAGGAAGTTAACAAACAGGGAATGTCACGTGATAGGAGGTGGATCATGATGTTTGCGGAGCGGTTGTCTGAAACAGCGTGCGTCTATTTTAGGGTGTCCTTCATTCATTTGTCAGAGTTGACCTTTCAACAGTGAACATTTGCAACTGTGAACATTTCACAATAATGAGATGAAGTTTTAACAAATGTACGCTGGCATTGTGCAGGTAGCGACTTGCTGTCAACTCCTTGTCTGCTGCACCACCAGCCTCGCGCTCTAGTTTAAACTTTGCAGTCTGACTAAGCAAGTTTTTGTGTGTCACCATCCACCGAACAAAGTGTCACCATTTACTGAACTACGTGTCACCATCCACCGAACTATGTGTCACCATCCACTGAACTACGTGTCACCATCCACTAAACTACGTGTCACCATCCACTGAACTACGTGTCACCATTCACAGAACTACGTGTCACCATCCACAGAACTACGTGTCACCATCCACAGAACTACGTGTCACCATCCACTAAACTACGTGTCACCATCCACTAAGCTACGCGTCACAATCCACCGAGCTACGTGTCACCATCCACTGAACTACTTCTAACATTCAAGTGATGATGGTGATTGTGCTCCAACACCGGTGACAGTTAAGGGTTGTTCACACGGGCCGATGGAAAAATGTGAATGAGAGTAATGGTAACCAGTTCAACTTTTGTGAGGGTATCTGAATATTTTTTTAACAGTTTAAGTGTCCTCATTTTTTTATTTTTGTCTCCAGCACACTGGTTGTGGTAAGACTCTAGTTTTCTTTTTAATCAATGCACTTGAAGTATCACAAAAATAAATTAACTTGTTTCGTTGTCAACTCGTGAGACAGTCAGAAGGAATAGAAAGGTACATCATATCTCTTGGGGTTAAATTAATGACTGAATAGCATTTTAAGCAAATCCTTTGATTCAAGTCTTCAACACAACATGTCAGACGTTTCTAGTCCCAGCATGAACCCAGGTCTAATGACAGCACAAACTACGCCCCGTGATCCACCAGCAGACGACCACCAAGTCCTACTGCAGCGGGTTGACACGGCACTGAACGCCGTCGTCATCCCCTTTCTCTGCCTTTTCGGCATCGGCGGCAACGTCATCAACGTCATCGTGCTCCGTCATCACGGGTTCAAGGACACGACCAGCCAACTGCTGCACTCGTTGTCTGCCACGGACCTCTTGTTCTCGGTGGTCCACGCCGTGCTCCAGATGTCGTACATACTTGAAAGCTTCGAGCCGGTGATGGCCATGCAACTAAAGACTTTTTCAACAGCGTACACGTCCACGCTGTACAAGGTGCTGATAGCTTCCAACGTCTGCCACGTGACCGCCATTGCCCTCGAGCGCGTGGTCGCTGTCTGTTTCCCCTTTCACGTGGCCAGGGTTTTCACGCGCCGTCGTGTCAAACTGGCGATCGTCTTCTTCTACGTCATCCCACTTGGCATGTTTTCCCCGTTTTTCTTCGTCCTCGAGTCCGAGCTGGTATTCTCTCCCCGGTTCAACACCACTGTGCCCGATGTGTTTCCCACCAAGTTCTTCATGGAGAATAAACCCATCCTGGACATTTACTCCAAAGTGGTGCTGGTCAACGTCTTCGCCACCATAGTTCCGGCCGTGCTCCTGGTCTGCTCCGTGCTCATTGGCTTCAAGGTCAGCAGGCGGGGGGCGTTCGCCAAATTGGACAGGATATCGAACCAGGACAAAGTCGAGATGAAGTCCTTGAAGATGGTCATCACGGTGTGCTTGGTGGCCGTCTTCATCTGCCTGCCGGCCATCACCATAGATCTAGCCCTGCTGTATGCCGACGTCCCTCATGGCCACGTGTACGACCTGCTGGACACCATCACTGAGACCCTCGCCCAGGTCCACACGTGCAGTAATTTTATCATCTACGTCACGATGAGCACCAAGTTCTCAAAAATCTACCTTAGATTATTTTGTCTTTAAAACCAAGATCTTGACATGAATTACTTCTTCTAAAACTCACTTCAATGCTTTTGTATTCTTTTTTTTGTTTTTTTTTGTTTTTGAAGGTCATCTCACATAATCGACACCATAAATAGATTAGCTAGTCTAATTAATACCCATCATGTTGTATATTTAATTGTTCACATATGTATGGGGATTTATATTTTATAACATGTGATTGAAAATGATTGTGTGTTTTCTGTCAATCATGATTAAAGTGTGAAAATGATTTTAAGTTTTAACGTATTTTACACAAACAACTCTTTGTGAGACGGGGGGAAAAACTCTAAAAGAAATAGTTTTAAAATTTATTGGTATTTCATTTTGCAATATAATACACAAAATTAAAAAAAGAATTTTACAAATACAACTGTTGGGGGTTTTTTAAAATTAATTTTTTTTGTAAAAAATGCGTAACTAGAGTTTGTGCTGTTAAATTTAAAGAAGTGATCTTATTATGCAGAATTTTTCAAATACAAAGTTTAAAACCTATTTTTTCGTATCCAGTAATAAATGGTAAATATTTAATGCAAATATATTTAAATACATTATAAGAATCAATGGGAATAGTTTTAAATTATTGACATTTTAAAAAAAAATTGAAAAATTTAAAAATAATTATGATAAAGCTAAAGCTTACATGCCTAAATCAGACACAGTCTAGGAGTTCCCTAGGCTTCGGGCATATTCTAACAAGAAACAATTATTTCCCTTAGAAATGTATAATAATATCACATTTCTTCTTCTTCTTCTTCTATATATTAAGGGCCCACGATCAATTTATTGATCATTTTGGCTCCTATGCTTCATTACCAAATACAGTCTAATGCTCTTTCTTTTCGAGACAGTAACTCCACATCATGGCATTAGGCTCATGTCCATAAATAAATAAAAACAAATAAAGTGTTTTGTGGGTGTTACTTTCTTCAAGCTAGTATAGAGGTACTATTTGTCTTCTCTCATGTGGTTGGCATAAGCATCGGTGTAGTCACACATGTTCAACATGATCCCCTGACAGAAAAAGAGTTTGAAGAACTTCCCCGTGGACGATAAAGAGTTTATTTGTAAATTGCCGGTTAGAATGCTACAAAAGGAGGATTGTATTGATCTATCACACAGATAGAAGAAGAGTAAAACAGTTATAACAATTAAAATAATACATTTTTGAAAAAACATGTTTTATCAAGCATAAAAACTAAGTATTAAACCTATGCTTATAGCATATTCATTCTTACATTAGTCATTACTACCTCAATTATAATATGAAGAATTCCTTACCTGGAGTTTTTAGTGTGTGCATCTTTTCTTTTTTTTTTTTTGTTGGTTGCCTTCCTTTGAGAATCCAGAAAATATTGAGACCAGGTTTTCTTTTAAGGATAAATTTAGGTATGGCCTGAGAGGGTCCATGGCAATAATAAAATAATGTGAGTATTGTTGACTGTTTGGAAGTCTAGGCCTAGCTATTCACACGATTAGGCCACTAAAATTAACATTTCTAAATAATCTGAACAAACAAAATATATTATGCAATAAATTAATATGATATTAGTTGTAGTCCTACAATTTTCTAGTGATAATTTTATTTTCCGATTGTGTTTTGGTTTTAAAAAAAATAATTAAAGTGTTTCTTTTCATAATCAAATCAGCTGAATTCAGTTTTCATTGTTCTTGTTTTGATGTTTTACTCAGCAGCTCTAACTCTAATAATTAGAAGTGGAAGTTATCAATTCATTCTTTGTAAAAATATATTATTATGGGTTGACTTCATTTAGCCTTGTAGTTAAAATATTAATTTTCTTTCTCTGATCAGTGGCGATAAAACATTCATAATGACATAACACTTGGAAAAAAAAAACATATGAATCGAAGATGTTGACCAAGGCGACATGGTTTGAAACTGTACGTGTGTAAGTAAAGAAACATCTTAGTCTTCATCAGATGTTGTTTCGTATTCTTCTAGTCTATATCCCAAACATCAGTCTAAGAGTCTTGGCGATTCCTTTAAAGGTAATTTCAGTCTTTTCTAAACTCATTTTGGATTTTAAAATTATTTTTTATTGAAGCAGCTGGCTCGATTCCAGTATTCCAGCAGTTGCGACAAGACGTCAAAATGGATGACGTAAACTCACCTCGGTCCCGTTCATTAAAGAACATTCGTTTCAAACATTGATAATTATATTTAAAACTTTAATATATATATAATAAATTAAACTTTTTTCTGCTCTGCATCAAATATTGCGAGTTTTAAAATGAAGCGAGCGAATTAATTTTGCGGCCCGAGGAGACAGTCCTCAAGATGCAAGAAGCCTCAGATTGACCATCGGCCCGAGGAGACAGTCGTCAAGGTGCAAGAAGCCTCATACTGACTATCGGCTCGCTTTTATCTCTAAGTGAAAGACTGTTCCAGCGGTTATCTCCTTCTATCTCAGCGTTAGTTTCAGACACAAGACGTTATTATACCAGTTGATGATAATCTAAAGCTATACTAAACATTGAATATGCTGGACAGCTAAAATGCTTTTGTCTATTTCAAATTAGCGTTTAGATTGGGCAGGGTGTAAACAAAAATGTGCCAAACCCAAATGTAGACCGATTTATGAATCCCAGTAAAATTAATAAGGATGGCAAGGACAGGCCTGCCCCGCCCCGTAAGCAGCGGTAAACATTAAGTGCCACGTGGGCGGACAAGCCGGCTAAATTACAAAAAGGCGTCATTTGATGATGGCAGGGGTGGACTGGGGAGTTCACGCGGCCCGGGAAAAAATCAAAGCGGCCCGAGAAAAAAACAAAAAGCGGCCCTATCTTCATGACTGTTATTTTTATTATATCACCGGTCCTAGCGGCCCATCGGGAATCTTCCCGATGTCCCGGCGGCCCAGTCCACCCCTGGATGATGATGAGTGTGAGACATGTAAACTGACACCTGTGACAAGACAGGACCAACAAGTAGAAGAACAAACTCAAAGTAGCGTCTTGACCAGTTCACACGCGCAGGTACTCTTAAGCCGCTGCCAGTTGGTTCTCTGAGCTGCGTTTCATTGCTATCGGCATCACTCAGATTTGAAACTGAGACATCAACACGATAATTTGATTAGTCAACATCTCGACTGTCAGATGTTTTAAAATATGGTTTACTCACAAACCCATACTGACCAATGGCTAGTTACAATCTCAGTGAGGACAGACCTGGCAACCAAACGTTTTGTTTCGCCATGCCTGGCTTGGTCAGTTTTCGCTGTGGGTTGCCTACTCCAGGCATCTCAAAGGTCCAGTAGGTAGAGTTTCTATTGTATCCCACAACCCAGTCGTCGAGGGGACCACGTGGTATTTTATTGCAAAAACTTTCTCTAAGTACAATTATCTTTTCTCAAGGTCCTCTTAATCATGTGGAAAGTGAGTGGCACAAAGATGTTCAGCAGGATGCAACAGCAAACTTGAGCATTTTTAGGAATCCAGACCGACATATTACATGTAAGAAGTCTCTTTCTAATAAGATTTTAGAAAATCGAAATTAGCCTTTGCCGATATTATCCAGAATCATTTTCTGCGGAACACACGACATCGCAATTAGTGGCAAAGATAGTGACAGTGGCTATGCTCATGATCTCTTTCAGCTGAGAGTGGAGGCTGGCGACAAAGACTTGGAGACACATTTGTAGACGTACGTTGGTATTGCTAATTATACATCTCACAAATCCACAATCACATGATAGAGATATGCGAGGAAGTAACAAGGAAACCAATCATGGCAACGATAAACAAGTCTGTAGGATTCTCACTCTTGTCCGATGAAACGGCTGGTGTATCAAGAACAGAACAATTGCGGTTGGCGGGACGTTTTGTAGACAACGTAGATATGGCATTTCAAGGTCAAGGAGACTTTAATGGATTCCGGCCAGTGAAGCAAATGACAATATCTGGAATTTCAGATGCGGGTGCTATTTTAAATTATTACCATCAATGTGGTCTGGACATGCGAGTAAATTACATGGATAATGGTATGACGGCTGTTCCACAATGGCAGGAAAGGAAGGCGGTGTTCAGACTAAACTACACAAGACTTTTTCCAAAAGTGGCTTTTGTTCCTTGCTCTGCACATCCGCTCAATCTGGTGGTTAATAATTTGAATTCAATTGTTTTGTGTGTAACGCCACTGGTACAATCAAAGCTATCATTAAGTAATGCCACTGGTACAATCAAAGCTATCATTAAGTAATGCCACTGGTACAATCATGGCTATCATTAAGTAATGCCACTGGTACAATCGCGGCTATCATTAAGTAATGCCACGGGTACAATCATGGCTATCATTAAGTAATGCCACGGGTACAATCATGGCTATCATTAAGTAATGACACTGGTACAATCGCGGCTATCATTAAGTAATGCCACTGGTACAATCGCGGCTATCATTAAGTAATGCCACTGGTACAATCATGGCTATCATTAAGTAATGCCACTGGTACAATGAAAGCTATCATTACGTAATGCCACTGGTACAATCGCGGCTATCATTAAGTAATGCCACTGGTACAATCATTCTATCATTAAGTAATGCCACTGGTACAATCTCGGCTATCATTAAGTAATGCCACTGGTACAATCACGGCTATCATTAAGTAATGCCACTGGTACAATCGCGGCTATCATTAAGTAATGCCACTGGTACAATCGCGGCTATCATTAAGTAATGCCACTGGTACAATCACGGCTATCATTAAGTAATGCCACTGGTACAATCACGGCTATCATTAAGTAATGCCACTGGTAAAATCACGGCTATCATTAAGTAATGCCACTGGTACAATCACGGCTATCATTAAGTAATGCCACTGGTACAATCGCGGCTATCATTAAGTAATGCCACTGGTACAATCGCGGCTATCATTAAGTAATGCCACTGGTACAATCGCGGCTATCATAAAGTAATGCCACTGGTACAATCATGGCTATCATTAAGTAATGCCACTGGTACAATC